AGTCTGTAGTTATAAACTTCCTACAAAAAAACCCCACAGGTTCTGATGGGTTCACTGGTGAATTCTACTAAGCATGTAAAAAGACAACAATACAAGTTCTTTCAGAAAACAGAGCAGGAGTAAATACTTCTAAACCTAATTAATGAGGGTAGTAATAGCTCGATACCAAAAGCAGACAAAGAAACTACAAGAAAACTACGTACCAGTATCCCTTATGATTACAGATGTAAACATCTTTTTTAAAAAATTTATTATTTATTTGACACAGGGGAAGAGAGAGAAAGAGAGACAGTGAGAGAGGGAACACAAGCAGGAGAGGGAAAAGCAGGCTTCCCGCAGAGCAGGGAGCCCAATGCAGGGCTCAATCCCAGGACCCTGGGACCATGACCTGAGCCAAAGGCAGAGGCTTAACGAATGAGCCACCCAGGTGCCCCAGATGCAAACATTTTTAACAAAAATTAAGTAGATCAAATCCAGGAATATATAAAAAGGGTAATGCATCATAACCAAGGTGGGTTTGACATTTGAAAATAAACTTCTGTATTTTATTAACAGAATAAAGGAGTAAAACTATCTGATAATTTCAATAGAGAAAAAACTATTTGATAAAATACAATTTATAATTAAAAAAAAAAGTGTCAGTAAGCTAGGAATGGAAGGGAACTTGTTTCATCTGATAAAGGCCACCTAACATCATAATCAAAATAGGAGAATATGATGGAGTGCTTCCCCCCAGTCAGGAAAGCACTCACCAACATCCACTCTCACCAGTTCCAATTAGAACACTTACACTAGGGGTTCTAGCCAGAGAAACAAGATGGGGGGAAACAGGCATCTACTTGCACACAATATGATAGTTTACACAGGAAATGCTCATTCTGGCTTCCCACTTAGGGGAAATACAAAAAGGAATGGTAGAGGATTAAGGACTACCGGAGAGAACAGAGAAAGGAGACTAGGTTCTATTTCATAAGCTCTTTACAAAGCAGGGAAGTGTGTCATACATTTTCCAAAGGTTTACCTAAAATAGATAAGATTACAAAAATATAGAAGGCTCAGCAATCTGGATTATTCTCTCATATAGAACACAAACCCACACATTAAGGGAGAAATGAAAAATTGTCATATATAAACCTAGCAATACCATCACTACCCATATAAAACAATCTCAGTAATAAATGGATCAAGGTTTTTAAATGCTACTTACAGCTGATAGTGGGTATAATGAAATGGCTCTAAATTAATATTAATTGGGCCATCCATGGCATAGTAGATCATTACGAGATGTTAAACCTCAAGCCTAAAACAACCTTTAATTCTGGATAACATCTCAACAAGGTAGAGAAGAAAAGACTGTTATGTATCCTTACCCACATTTTTTGTAAGTGCAACATATATTTAATATCTTCTTTATCAAGGGGCGCCTGGGTGGCTGAGTAGGTTCAGTGTCTGCCTTCGCCTCAGGTCATGATGTCATCATTGTCGGATGGAGCCCCGCCTCTCCCTCCGCGCTCAGTAGGGAGTCTGCTTGAGAGTCTCTCCCTCTGCCCCCACCCCCGTTCTCTCTCTTTCCCAAATAAATAAATCTTAAAAAGCATACGTTCTCTATAAAATAACAAAAGCATATAGATTTTTGATTCTTGGGCTGCAATCATTTATGCACCCTAACATTCTACCCCAATTCAAAGTAATGTATTAAGTCTCCTACAATTTTAAAATTCGAGTTTCTCTTTTTTCTTTAAGTCAGAGGGTTTTGTTTTTTACTTAATATGTCATCTGGTTTTTATATGATTTAACTTAAAAAGCAAGGTCACAACTGTTTGAGTTCTGTTAACATATGCTGTTAAGTCTCTAATTGTCAGGGCCACTGCAGAGGAGACTTAAACCAAATGCTAGTCTTCTCTCACCCAGTTCTCAAGGCCAACACTGGCGATGCCGCAGCAAACCAGCACCCAGCTCCATGGGGCCCTGGCTCTAGCGAGCAAACCCAAGAGTGAGGGCAGGAGCCCAAGAACAGGGCAATTTTTCCTGCACTAGCCTCAACTCCCAGTCCCAAGTGACTAACAACAGGAATAACCTTTGTTGTATGCTAAAAATACAGATTCAGAGAGCACACCATATACTGAATTAGAGTCTCTGAAAAAAAAAATTTTTTTTTTAAGATTTTATTATTTGAGAGAGAGAGCAAGTGCAGAGGGGGCGGGAGAGGAGGCGATCTCAAGCAGACTCCGTGCTGAACCCGATGTGGTGCTCAATTCCACAACCCTGAGATTATGAACAGAACCCAAATTGGGAGTTGACACTTAACCAACTGAGCCACCCAGGCGCCCCTGAAGAATTTCTATTTTTAATTTGTCAGGAGACTTTTATTATCAAGCAAAGTGTAGGCACTTTGTCTCAACCCACAAAGTGAACTTTCTCAAACTATGAGCTGTGATCCTTAGGGGTCAAAAAACCAATTTAGTCAATCACTATCAGAATGTTTTAAAAAAGTAATAGATGAGGAGGGCACCTGAGTGGCTCAGTCGGTTGAGTGGCAACTCTTGATTTCAGATCAGGTCATGATCTCAGGATGGTGAGACTGAGCCCACTGTCAGGCTCCAAGCTGGGCATGGAGCCTGCTTAAGATTCTCTCTCTCCTTCTCCCGAGGTCCAACACCCCACCACCCCACATGCACGTGCTCTCCCTCAAATAAATAGTTTAAAAAAAAGTAACACATGAATATAGAAAATATAAGCATGTATCACACAAAATAAGGACAAACATTGTTCTGTGAAACCTTGTTTCAATTACAGAAATACATGTAGATGTATATTCTATACATATACAAGTATGTGTGTGTATATATTTACAAATACTTACGTATTGTGCATGGGGTCACAAAGTAAAAACTATTTCTTTTTTTTTTTTTTTTTTAGATTTTTATTTATTTATTTGAGAGAGAGAGAGAGAGAGCACAAGCAGGGTGAGGGTCAGAGGGAGAAGGAGACTCCCCGGTGAGCAGGCAGCCTGATGTGGACTCAATCCTGAGACTTTGGGATCATGACCTGAGCCAAAGACAGACATTCAACAACTGAGCCACCCAGGTGCCCCTAAAATCTATTTCTTATCTTGGGTAGTGATCAAAATATGTTTGACAGCTACTGCTAGAAGAGAAGAAAAAAAAAGTAGAACTGCAGGAAAAGGAGACTTTGTAAGTTCCCTGTGTGGAAACAAGAATGTTAAGACCTTTTGATTTGTCATATTGGTCTGATTTCTGCTATTTTCATGATCATCAATAACTTGGAGAACTCTTAATAAAAACAATTATTTTATGATGGAGGCATGAGTAATACTTCATCACAAAGAGATGAGCACGTTGGGGGAAAAAAAGAGAATACAGTGAAAACATCCAAGTGCACCCTTACTGTGCTGAGGGAAAACAGTATTGTCTCTCCTACCTTCCAAATGAATTTAGTGTCCTTTAGTTTTGGGGCCTATTAAATCCCCATCCATGTCACCTATAGACAGCATTTGACCCCAGAAATTCCCTTCTCCTTTAGGATTTGTGAAATATCCCCTCCAAAACTTCTTCCTCAGCTGTTGTTTCTTTGTAGCTTCCTTACTCTCTTAAATAAAAGTATCTCTCCTTGAAGTTCATTGGTAGTATCTGTCTCTGTCTCTCTCTTTTTTAAACTCTATGCAAATGATCTAAATCCACTGAACTGTTGACATCTATTATGGTTGTATGGTTATATTGTACCATTTTACAGATGAAGAAACTAAGGCAAGAGAAAACTAACTTGTCTGAGGTCCTACGGCTAGTTAAATAGCTGAGAGAGCATTCATCCACAGGGAGTTTGGCTCTAGTCTGCTATACAGTGTTCTTTAAATACCAAAAAAACATTTAGTAAGCCAATGAATGATGATGGCAAAGTGTAGTAGACACGATTCTCTTGAGTCAGTGAGGTCTGAGTTCACCAGCATCAGGACTTTGAGCAAGTTACTATTTCTAAGTTGTGTAACAGAGGAATAACAATACACAACTTGAACAGTTGCTATAATACTTCAATATATGGCATGTGACTGGCAAGTAGCAGATGCTAAATAAAGGATATCTATTATTATCATTACAATGAATGATATCCTTGTTTTTTTTTTTAATTTTATTTATTTATTTAACAGAGAGAGAGATCACAAGTAGGCAGAGAGGTAGGCAGAGAGAGAGGGGAAAGCAGGCTCCCCGCTGAGCAGAGAGCCCAATGCGGGGCTTGATCCCAGGACCCTGGGATCATGACCTGAGCCAAAGGCAGTGGCTTTAACCCACTGAGCCACGCAGGAACCCAATATCCTTGTTTTTTAGAAGAGTTACCCATTGTCAACTACCCATGGCTCTGAATCTCAAACCAACATCATTTTTTATTAAACTTCCGGAGTGTATTTGTGTTAGTATGTAAGAAAAAAAAAAAAAAAGAATTTACCCAGATTTCTCACCTTATGGATACACTTTAGAGTATCTCAACCTTGGCATTATTGACATTTTGGGCCCAGTAATTCCTTTTTGTCCGGGGCTGTCTTATGCTCTGCGAGATGTGTAACAGCATCCCCAGCACGAGATGCCAGGAGCACCCCACTCCCAGTCATGACCATCAGAAACATCTTGAGCTTTGTTACATGTTCCCTAGGGAACAAAATCACCCTCGCAGAGAATCACCACATTACTGGGATCATACTAGGCTGTACTGGCTGAAGATACAGTGAAGACTTGAAGACTCTTGCTTCCCTTGCTTATGATAGAATTCTCATAAGTAGAACACAATCTGTAGACACCAACAGGGTTTATTTTTAAGTTCTAGAAAATATAAACACACATGCATTCTTTCTTTTTAGGATAATTATCAGCAGCTACTTTTGGTGTGTGTAAAGGATTTGAAATTATTTTTAAAACGTGACATTTTGCACTCATCCGAACAATTCTAAAACCACTTTGATCTACAGAGTCAAAGATGAATTCTTTTACCTTTAGAGCTGACATTATAGTTTGCTCAGCTGCTGGTGGGAAGGAGCTCTGACTGGAAACCACCTAGAACAAGGTTTTGAAACAGTTATAGTTTTGCTTAAGTCTTTTACTTTTATAAATACTGATTTTGGTCATAACATGATAAAGCTATTTCCACAGACACACAAAATAGTATCATTACTTTAGATTACATCTCATATTTAGATGTTTTAGATACTCATTAGTATTTATTAGTTAAGATAGGTTGAAAACTACTTTCCCGTATAAAGCAATTATACTACATAAGGCAATTATACTATATACTTCAAATAATCAAAACATGAAGAATTCTAAGAGTTGGCTTCCCTTTATTCACTTTAGATAGGTTTTAATTATAAAGTTTTAACTTGAAAAGGTCAGTCTAAAGCCATATTTACATTTTTCTTTTAAAAAATTCACTTTTCTCCAGGCTGACTATAATTTTCGACAAGCCTTTAAAATACAAATGTCAAACATTTAAAAATACAATACAAATATTATGAAGATTCTGAAAGTATCAATAAAAGCATGGAAATCACCCTAAAGAAAGAGAAACTTTCATTGATTGTGAGGCTTCAGAGTAATAATGAAAGGGAATGGAAAATATTTCATTTATTCTTTATTTACTTCTGTTACTTTTCTGAGATTTACTTGTTAATAACACTTTAAAATATATTCTGTTTAATGTGTGACATACACATTTTTGGAAACTCCTAACTGACACAAGGACTTGTTAAAAATTTATGTAAATAAATAGTCACATCATTATTCTAAAATGTAATTGAGCATATTAAAACTTAAAATAAAGGTCATGTTCTCAAGAGCATCCCCTAACCTTTGGCTTCCTTCCGGTCTTCTAAATATTGATCTCCCTACTTAACTAAATATTTTGGAAATGACTTATAAAGAGAAAACATGAGCTAGTCAAAAGCCAAGGATTGGGTTGAAAGTGTTGCTTTCTTGGTAATTGTAAATACAGTTCATCTTAGAAATAATACATGAAGGCAAACAAGTTAAAATTCATCATAAAAAAAATAGCAAATAGCAAACACTAGTAAAACAACAGTAACAACAGCAAAAAGGATATATATTTTTTACTTCCAAGGAGTCATCAGTGATTATATCATAAAAAATCAGTGTTTAATGCAGTTCCTTCCCTCCTTCTTTGTGCAAAGATGGAACCTTTCCAAGTTGAAGGGATTAAGAGTTCTTATGAAATTATGCTTTTTTTTTTTAATTTTTTCTTTTCAGCGTAACAGTATTCGTTGTTTTTGCACCACACCCAGTGCTCCATGCAATAAGTGCCCTCCCTAATACCCACCACCTGGTAACCCCAACATCCTGCCCCTGAAATTATGATTTACTCTTAAATCATTTGCTCAATAAACTTGATTATACCATTCAAACCTGATGATCTAGAGTTCATATGTTTTAAACCAAATGTATAGAGAAAAGTGACACAAATGATAAAGGCCAGGAACAGAAACTGTTTAAAAAGAGTTCCTTCTGCAGTCTATTTTACAGTCATCACGTTTTCATTGTATTCTTTGACCAAAAATTAAACAATAATTCCTTGCTGTCTAAATTTGAGGTGAAAAGAAAGAAGCTGAAAGTAAAAGAAACTAAAATAAAATAAAGATTACCTTTGTTACTGATTGGTGCAACTTATACAGTGAATTCACTACTGCCACGTTTCTTCTCTGCCCTTCTGTAAGAGGCCCAATCACCTGGCTTGCATCTCCTTGTGTGGAGAGCTGTAAGAATTCAGCACAAAAAGAAATGACCAAAATGGCAGTTCATATTTAACTGGGAAGCTCATGTCCTCCTAACCGTCCCCAGCCAAAAAAAATATCAAAAAAAGAATGTTCACTGGAAATACTGAGATCAAGTGTTGGACTTCAGACACAGCCAGAAGGAACCTCTGTGGAGGGAACAGCGTGAATGGGGAAGCCCAATCAGCCCAAATGTGTGCACAAGAAGATCATCTTCCATCAATACTTCAGAGCTGACGGACCTGAGGCACATGTGACCCAAAAGCCCAGTGTGTGCTGGTGTTTTCACACATCAGCGCAGTACTCTCGGGGAATACGTTCTGGCCACTGCCAATAGTCCTTCCACTCAAAAACTCAGAAATAAGCCATCAAAACAAAACAAAAAAGAAAAGTAAATAAAGGAAGGGAGGGAAGGAGGAAGGAATGAAAATAAGCCTCCATCCTATTTATATCTGACAGCCATCATACTAGTCCATGAAATGGGCGGTAAAAGAGGGTTTTACTTTCATTTTTATACATTAAAATTTTGTTTGGAAAAGGAAGTTAGCTAAGATTATACTGTATATGGATGATCAGTAGAAGCACAATTAAGAACTTTCTACTCCTCACTTTTTAATTCTGAATACAAGAGTTTTAGGAGAGAGGACATGTAATGCTTTAAGAGTTAATCTAGAATTCTTGTAGTTTGATGTGAGAAAAGAATCCACATATAAACTGTTCTCATACCGATCAGATTTTAATCAAGTCCTCTGTAACAATTTTTTTTAAAAGATTCTCTTATTTATTTGAGAGAGAGAGAGTGTGTGCATGCAAGTGGGGGGCAGGAGAAAGAGAGAGCATCTAAGTGAACTCCCTACTGTGCATGGGGCCCGGCACAGGGCTCAATCCCAGGACCCTCGGATCATGACCTGAGCTGAAATCAAGAGTTGGATGCTTAACTGACTGAGCCACCCAAGCACACCTGTAACAAATATTTTTAAAGGTGAATTACATTTGAGTAGGACAAATAAAAATGACTTAAGTCAACTCTATGAACGTGGACACAGATCTCAACATGTGAATAGCTGGGCTTTTAAGAGAACTGAAACGAACACAGATCTCAACATGTGAATAGCTGGGATTTTAAGAGAACTGAAACGAAGATCATCTTGCCTTTGTTATAGAGAGCCAAATAAAGTCTAGGAGAAAGAAATACTATTTTGCTTTCTACTTTCCTTTGACGAACACACACACATCCATTTATAAAAACTGAACTCAACTCCTACTTTATCAATTCCTACTTGTAGTAATAAAATATAACTTAAAAATATTAAAAACTGCAATTAAAATAAAGGGAATATTCCTTTGTTAACATTACAACCCATGATGATGGCTATAAAGTCAACATAAGACCTTTTGACATCAGGTTAAAGAACTCTAGTTTATCGTGCCTCTCCTTATGGACATGGTCACCAACTTGTAATCCAGTCGAGCTCTAAAACTGGAGAATAAAGTGGCGTCGTCACTGGCACAGCAGTTACAGCCAACTCAGCATGTTGAATGTTAAATACGTATCTCTCAGTAAAGGGCATCTAGAAGTTATGAACTCCAGCTATACAATTTTTTAAAAAATCCAATCTCTCTTACTTTTCATGAGATTCTCTCCAAATAATTTTGAGGTAGCAACAAAGAAATGGAAAAAGGAAAGAATTTTTCTTGTTATTTTATGTCTATTTTATGTATTCCATACTTATAGAAGAGATAGTCTTGCTGCTAGAAAAGCATGAAGATCCTATTATTACTAATAACTGACTCTATCTGAGGGGTTTAAAAGTAGAGAAAGGCCTGTCAGACCCATGATAACGCTGTAATAAAAAAATCAAATAGTAACAAATGCTGGCCAGAATGTGGAGAAATCAGAACCCTCATACACTGCTGGTGAGAACGTAAAATGGAGTGGCTACTTTGGAAAATAAGTCTGACAATTTCTCAAAGATGGACACAGAGTGACCATATATACCCAGCAATTTGACTCCTTGTTATATACACGAGAAAAATAAAAACACATGTTCACAAAAAAATGTGCGTTTCCGTAGTGTAGTGGTTATCACGTTTGCCTGACACAAAAAAATGTGCATATAAACGTTCACAGCGACATCATGCCATAGTGTAATAGTCCCCAAATGAAAACAACCCAGATGCCAACTGATAAGCAGACAGATAAGATGTAGTCTAGTCATACAATGGAACACTGCCCAGCAAAAGAAAAAAAGGAATGACGTTCTGAGCATGCATAAGGTGGATGAACCATGAAAACATCTTAACTAAAAGAAGCCACTCACGAAAGACCACATATGGAATGATTACATTTACATGAAATAGCCAGAATAAGCAAATCCAGAGACAAAAAGCAGATGAGTAATTAGGGGATGGGCAAAGAGGGTAAATGGGAAGTGACTGCTAATGCGTGGGAGGTTTCTTGTTGGGGTGAGGAAATGTTCTAAGTGAATATACTAAAAACCAGTGAATTGTACACTTACATGGGTGAATTATATTTTAATAAAGCTGTTTTTTTTTAAAAAGTATAGAAAGAAAAATCCCTAGACTTCAACGGTTAACTGCTAGATGCCTCGAGCCTTGTAAGGACTAAGACTAAAGTAAGATGGCTAAGTTGGAGACCTACAAAGTTCTGTGAAGAAAATAACACACTTAGGGTGTCTGGGTGGCTCAGTCGTTAAGCGTCTATCTTCAGCTTGGGTCATGATCCCAGGGTCCTAGGATCGAGTAATGCATTTGGGCTCCCTGATCAGCAGGGGAGCCTGCTTCTTCCTCTCCCCCTCCCTTTGCTTATGTTTCCCTTCTTGCGGTGTCTCTGTCAAATAAATAAATAAAATCTTACAAAAAAAAAGAAGAAAATATTACACTTAGGAGAGCAAAACATTGATGACATAAAAGAACTAAAGATGAAATATCACTGTGCCAAAAACAAGGAACAAAATTCAAACATCAAAGTGAAATATAACACTAGAAGATTGGAAATTTAAGATAATCTGCTGTTAATCCTCGTTTTATAGCACAGAATATAGTCAGCCCAACATCTGAGCTTGGTGGATCACCCTGCTTCTCTCCAACACCATTCCTGCCATGACCATTTTGGGGAAATAATTTCAAATTTACAAAATATTACAAAAATAAGAATAGTGCAAGGAGCACTCATAGACACTTTACCCAGATTTATTTTTTTTTTAAGATTTATTTATTTATGTTAGGGGAAGGAGGTTCAGAGGAAGAGGGAGAGAATTTCAAGTGGACTCCCCACTGAGTGCAGAGCCCCACATAGGGCTTCATCTCACGACCCTGAGATCATGACCTGAGCTGAAATCAAGAGTCAGACACTTAACCAATTGAGTCACCCAGGTGTCCCTAAATCAGATATTTTTAACAAAAACTTTGAAAAGTTCTCATAAACTCTTAGCTATATAGTCATATCTATACTTAATTTCCTGAAAGTGGTAAGCATGCCTATTACCAAATTAATTTTTAATGAGGAATTTATATTAAGATCTTTTGATCTAATAATGTTTTCTATCCAATTTTGGGATTCACAGCAAAAAAAGTACATACAAAAAGGCTAAGTATTATTATTATTATTATTATTTTAATGAAAAGTATAAAGGGCAAATATTTGGCTCTCAGATTGTCACTCCCCTCCCATTCACAAAGAAGACATGAGTAATCAAGCAGTCCTGTTACTGTCTCACAAAGACAGTGCTCCAGGTAGCAACGACCAATTTCTTAAACCCGACACAAGGGATGAAATCAATTTGAAATCCCTGATCTATGTCATATCAGTTTTTCTAGACAGATGGTCCAATGATTCTAAGCGTACTCATCAATGTTTTCTAGGTCAAGAGATGCTAATGAGCAATATATTCCAAGAGCCTCAAAGCTGCTATAACCTTACTTATCCCACTATTAGAAATGTATCCTAAGAATATAATACTTACAGTTATATGCACAAAGATAATGTTATTTATGAAACAGAGAAACTGGAAAGCCCCACATGTCCAAGATGAAGAGAACAGTCAGGTATATACTAGGCAATTCACATTATGTTAGAAAAAACAATCGGAGGTGCTTATAGTATTGAGCTAACTAAAAAAAACAAAGCATATTTGTGCAGGAGTTCACTCTCACAAAAAGACTGGGAAGAAAGTGAAAACGTTAAGAAATATTATGAAGCATTATACAGTGAGGAAAGTTACTGAAATATTAGTAAAGGCACCATGGAATTCCATTAAGTATCTAAAAAGGTTCATTTGTAGAATGCACTTAGAAACTGTTGCACAAGATAAGTTTATCCAATGATAAACATAAAGGATGTAAAAAATAAAGGATGTACAATCTCCATCCTTGAAAGATTTAAGATAACACGACAAAATACACTGCTTTGGTCACTGTTTACTTGACCAAAAGAAGGTTTTGGGGAAAGATAGTTTCTTTCTTCCCTTCTTTCTTTTCTCCTCCCTTCCTTCCACCCTTCCTTCCTTCCTCCCTTTCTTTCCTCTTTCTTTCTTTCTTTCTTTCTTTCTTTCTTTCTTTCTTTCTTTCTTTCTTCCTTCCTTCCTTCCTTCCTTCCTTTTCTTTTCTTTTCTTTTCTTTCTTTCAGATTTATTTATTTATTTGAGAGAGAAGGGAGAGAGAAAATCTCAAGCAGATTCCCTGCAGAGCATGGAGCCCAACCTCACAACCCTGGGATCATGACCTGTGTCCAAAATCAAGCATGGGATGAACCAACTAAGCTATCCAAGGGCCCCAAGATAGTTTCTTTTGATCTACTAATCTGTGACACAGATGAAAATAACTGGTTTTTATTTATATTTACTTATCAAATGCCTTCATCATAGATTACCTGGCTGAGAGCAAGGAATACAAGAATATAATTAAATATCACTTAGCTCATTATGTCAATTACCCTATAAAAACATAAAATTAAACACAGA